TGCACTTTAGGGTGCATTGAATTGTTGGTTGAAACGATGGCCCACTTGATTAGGAGTGTAGATGTGATTACACTGAGTTACAAATAAGTCATACTATACTTTTAAAATAAAATGTGGTGGGACACAGCAACCATTTTCTTCATCTATTTTTCCTTTAGTTACACATCTTATTTATCTTGGTGGAAAAATTGGAGATACTCTAGGCTAGTCAAGAGGCCTGGGTAAAAAACTCCTTTACTCTGCCACTCACTTGATATTGATCCCAACCAGTTCACTTTTACTTCTCTGGACCTTAATTTTCTCATTGGTAAAATAAGATAATTATTTTAAATTATTTCTGAGACCAGGTCCTCGATGGATAGGTATTGCTAGTGTTTGCCAATTTTCAGTTCTCCTCCTCTTCTGGAGCTACGTGGCTTGTTCTCATCAATCAGATGTAAGACGTGTCTTGTCACTTCCAGATGGTGGAAAACATAAAAACAATTAGTTCTTTAGTTTCTCTTACCTGAGAGCATTAGTAGACACTCACATGTTTCAGGTGATGACACCATAAAATAGCAGATCAACTGTCTGGCTAGACCTACTTTAAGCATTTAGCATAAGGATGAAATATATTTCAGTGGTGTGAAGCCATTTGAATGTTTAGGTTAATTTGTTATTTCTAAATAACCTAACTTATCCTAATACATAAAACCAAGCTTTCTATGGTTTTGTGGGTCATTCTTGTTCATACTATAAGGATTTTTTTATTATATTATATATGGATCTAAATAAGAATACTGGGAAGGAATTTGAATCCCGTAACTTTTTTTTCCAGATGATTACATAAGTTGGAACTTCTTAAATCAGTCTTTTAAACACAAATCCATGTCATTACTCTGAATTTCAGTTTGCATTTCTGAAAGATCTATTTTTGATATATGGTCTTATCACTAATTATTCTAACTTCATTTTTTCATAAAGATTTCCTCAATCAGAGCATTTCTCACTAGATCTTTTAAGCATGAAATTACATAGGAAAATATAGGCCAAGAGTTGTTTCTAATTTAAAAAAAAATTGAATGACCTATATGAAAAGATGATTATTACCACAAGATTGCCTCAGATTTCCAAGGTAGGTTCCAGAAAGCCTACATAAAGTACATCTGTCTTGCTTATCAACAAACAGTGTTGGTAACAATATCCAACTCATTGGCTTACACCTTAAAGATGTTTTGGTTGAACACGGAAACCATTGTTTTGAATAATAGAAATAACTGTATTGAAACAATGCCTTGATGCTATGATGATAAAAGCTGCAGAAAATATTTCTGCTGAAAGGGATTCCAATGTGCAGGTTCTCATGCCATAGAAAATCTTATATTTTTGTGCCTGAGTCGGTAGCCTGCTCTTGCCTGGGACTTGTGGGCAGAGCCAACTATATAACTTACAAGACCTGTATAGCCCCTTTGTTCAAAAGGTAGGATGGAAAAGTGCAGTTAAAAATACTAAAATAAAAAAAGTACTTTTCTTTAGAACAAATTTATAAAACCTATCTGATAACAATGATACATGAGTAATAATATAAACCCACAGGTAGACAAAAAACTACGTTTTGATGTCTTAATTTTATATAGTGTAATAAATAAGAATACTTTATTAATGTGATAACTTGATCAAAGATTTTTCTGACTCACTTTTCTTTAAAAGCATTTATTAGATCATCAAAATTTATACTTTTAGCAACTTAAAGTGATATAATTAACAAATCAATCACTCTTGGCAAAGGAAAGATCACACTTAAATTTTGTCAATTTTTCATTCTGAGAAGAATCTGCTGATGCAACTAACATTAGAGCCCTTATGACTATTTTATAAGCAATGACAACATTGTGATTTTTTTTCTTAATAAATTTTTATTTAAGTAACATTGGCTTATAAGTTTCAGGTATACAACATTGTAATTCGACATCGGTACACACTACATCATGATCACCACCAAGTCTAGTTTCCATCCATCACTGTACAATTGACCCTTGTTACCCATTTCATCCCCCCTCCAACCCCTTTCCTCTGCTTTGTTCCTTTCTATTCCACATGAGTAAAATCACATATTTGTCTTTGTCCATCTACTTGGCATGTTATACCCTCAAGGTCCATCCATGTTGACACAGACATCAAAAGCTCACCTTTTTTTTTTAATAGCTGAGTAGTGTTCTATTGTCTTCATGTGCCATATTATCTCTATCCAGTTAGGTCGTTGTCATATCTTGGCCATTTTAAGTAATAGTGTGAGGAACATAGGAGTGCATATCTTAGTGTTTTTATGTACTTGAGATAAACACCCAAAAGTGGGCTAGATAGATCATGTGGTATTTCTGTTTTTTTGAGGAACCTACTGTCTGTTTTCCATAGTGACTGCACTCACTAATTTACATTCTTACCAACACTGTAGTGGGGTTCGTTTTTCTCTACATCCTCGCCAACACTTTATTGTCTCTTGGTTTTTTTTGATAATAACCATTCTGTAGGTGTGAGGTAGTATCTCGTTGTTTTGATTTGAATTTTCATAATCATAAATAATGAACATCTTTTCTTATGCCTTTTGGCCATCTGTATTATGTCTTCTTGGATGAAACGTCTTTTTGATTCTTCTGCCTATTTTGAGTTTTATGAGTTTTCTATGTATTTGGGACACTAACCTCTTATCAGATGTGTGATTTGGAAATATCTTCTGCCATTCAGTCAGTTCCCTTTTCACTATGATGATGGTTTCTTCCACCGTACAGAAACTTGTTAGTTTGATGTAGTTCCATTTGCTTACTTTTGCTTTTGATTTCCTCGCCTTTGGAGTTCAACCCACAAAGAAATCAATAAGGTCGATATTGAGAAGCTTACTGCCTAGGTTTTCCTCTATTCATTTCATGGTTTCAGTTCTTACAGTCAAGTCTTTAATCCACCATGAGTTAAATTTGTGTATGTTATAAGACTGTAGTCTAGTTTTATTCCCTTGCATGTGGCTGTCTAGTTTTTCCAACACCATTTATTAAAGAGACTTTTCTTTCTCTTTTGTATATTTTTGGTTCCTTTGTTAAATTTAGTTGTCCGCAGAATAGATTTCTGATAAATTACTTCAAAACATAAATTTTAGTGTATCTGTAGTTGAAGATTATTATGAAACTTTTCTTAAAAGATTTATCTCTATATACATATTAGTTTCATGTATGTTGAATTTAATTTTAAACATGGATTTATGCAATGTCATTTTAATGTTTTCTCAAGCATATCCTTTAACTTGTAGAGATCAAACAAGAAATTACTCACTTAACAATTTCTATATAATTCAGAATGCCTATATATGCTTTCTACTACTCTATCTTCAATGATAAAGAAAAAGTAATTTTAATATTGTATTCCTCATTAATTGGTTCACTTAATGGTGCATATGAAAACATTGTTCCTTCTATCAAAGTCAACAATCTTTACATTTAATTTCTCTTTGTAAGCCTGTGGATATTTACTTTGCAATGGGTTACCAGTTTTTAAAACCAGATATTCAAGATTCTTTAAAGAATCCTAATATTTCTTTGCTACACTTTATTGCAATTTCCTTGTATATGCTGTTATTTACTGATATTTATTGTCTAAACATTAGCAGTTCTTACCCCAGTGCTTAGGCCAGAGAACTAATAATTTTGCTTAGGGTATGGACTCTAGGAAGACAGGCAAGCCAGCCTATCACTATTGCCACCACCAGCACTGTTGCTAACCTAGGGTTAGGTCCTAGCCCCAGTTATGCCCCTGGGGCCCAGCGGCACTCAAAACTGCTTCTGGCATGAATGTGCACACCAGGCAAGCAAGACAACTTTTTGGTATACACACTGCCCTTTGCCACTGTGCCTGCAGGCCTGGCCTGATCCTACAAATGCATGCCAGCATTTATCTTCTGCTTACATACATGCTCCCTTGTTCCATGAGGATATATTTATAAAATTCAAGGTCAAATATAAGATCAGTAAGAATTTCAAGATGGCAACCATAGAGCAATAAACCAAGTTCTGGGGCCTATACTACACAGGTTACACACACCCTGCTTGAGCTTTTAGAAATTACTAATCCTTGGTGTAAATGGATATGGAAGTAGAAACATTTACATCTTTGAGTTGCCATTCTAGAAAAATGTATCATGGGCCATGGGTAAGGGTGTTGGCGACTATAATTAGTTTCTTTGCCTGTAAGCCTCTCCAAGCTTATCGATTTTGAGAAAAATGCTCAATACCAAGAGTCTTTTGGAGAGATCTCTTTATAGATTCAGATGAGGGTTTCTTTCTCCAAATTCTTGAGTAAGTGAGAATAAGATAACAGGAAGAAAGTAGCATTTTTATTGAATACTTATTATATGTTAATTTATACGCGTAGATTCATTTCATGTAACAGAAATTCTGTTAGCCCCTTGTGCATGAGATACTGAACTGAGACATTAAAGAACTTTCCCAATATCACATAGCTTGCAAATGGTAGGCTCTAAAACCAAGTCTCTCTGGTTGTATACTTTGGAAAGTAGCTTTAGCATTCTGAATAAAAATACTGGCAACAAGATACTTGGGTGCAAAGCCTGACTTTACCATGTCATGAGTTAATGTTAGCTGAATCTGTATCCTCGTGTATATAATGGGGATGAGACTAGCACAGTACCTAAATATATATGAAGCATAGGATCAGTGCCTGACAGTAAGCCTGTAATAAATGTTTGATACTAATATTATTATCATGATTTTTTGCCCACTCCATAGTCTCTCTTCCAGGTTAGAGGAGAATGTTACTTACAGAAAGATGAACATATAGACAGCAGGGGCCTCTGGTGTTTACCTCCCACAGTTCCCCTAGAAATCCCTCTTGATACATGATGTGTTCTCTGATCTGACACTTGCCTGCAACAACCTGTCTGCCCTGGATGGACCTCTTGGATTTTAATGTCCCACTAGTCTGATCATTTTCTGTCTGGGTTGTGTGTGTTACAGGTATGAGACATCTCTGTTGGATTTCGTTCAATCTCTGAGCCCAAAATCTGCTCTCAAATCTCAGACCCATCCCTCCAGACAGGCCGGGGCCTGGAATCATGGTATTTGCCAATCCAGATCTCTAAAATCAACCTGGAACAAGATGGGGATAAGCAAGACCCCTGAAGACCTGGAGGAGAATCAAATTCTGGAGGATATCTTTTTCATTTGACACTGAAGTATATGCTGCAAAACTTCCATCAGAAATGCATGGATTTTTTTATATACTGATCCAGGATTTTAAATTATTTGATTGCAAAGTAATAGTGTCTCTCCTTTCACAGGACCTGTCTCACTAGCATCCTATTAGATATTGAATATGTAAATCATTCTAACAACCCAGGGTGTTTTTGATCAGACCAATCAGTAGATAGCACATTAAGGGGGGTGGGGGGAGCTGAGGGCACAATCTTTTTCTATGCCCAGTAGAGAGTAGAAAACTAATATAGGACTTTTTCTGCAAGGCAGAGGCCCATTTACATTCTCCCTCATTTCAAAAGTGTTTCCTTCTCAGTATTTTGCTGGAAAAGGTCGGTTCTCTTTTGTGCATAAGGAAAAGCTTTCTACTAAAAGATTTCTCTCATTTAAACATAGCCCTTTTATAACAAAAGTAATTTCAGGAAGACAGGCCCTTTTACATCTCCACCCTGTTCTCACACCACCTACCTCTCTCTAAGTGTAGTCACTTAATTCTGAAATTAGAGTTAGTGCCCCTACCATCACAAAAACACTGAGGGCCAATCTTGAGTCAGAGTCAGTAGTCATCAGCTGTCCATCATCCGACCTAAAGGGCTCTGTGAGCTGGCAGAGGGACCCAGCCAGCCCTCAGAACTGGCATTACGTAACACTACTGAATGTCTGCCCTCAGGAAATCCAATGGAGGCACAGCTTGCAATACTTTTCCTACCATTCTTCCACTTCCCAAGATAAATAGGGGGCATCTCTTGATGTTTTTTATCGACCCCCATGGGTGTTTTATTCACCCTTCGAACTTCCCATGCCCGTATCCAGGGCAGATGCCACTAGAGAGAGAGTAGTATCCAGCTGCTGCAACCTGACAGTTTTTCCTGGCCCCTCCCTCTCACTCCATGAGGCTGTGCTGGCTTGGCCAGGCCTTGAATGTGCTCTGCTCAGGGCCACCATCCCAGTGCTCCAAAGAACTATCTCTACTTGCTTTTGCTCCACCTCCCACCAGTTTCCCTTCTTTCCCACTGGGCTTCACTGTGACCCCAAGAAAGCCGTGGAAGAAATACAATTGAGACCCTATTCTTTCTCTGTTCTCCTAGTCAGCTGAGCTCTGGAAATGGGTTCTTCAGTTTACAGTGGACTCTAGTGACCCCTCAAGCTGATGGAGAGTACGATGAGCCTACTTGAACTAGTGAGTTTCAAACTTTCCAGCTATTGAAAGTGAGGGGAAGATGTGTCTCCAGATACATCTTGATGACTTTGATATGGCAGGTGTTGCTTTTTTCTCTTTTACCAACCTCAGACTTGAACTGGGACTGGGACTTTTTGTCATTCAGTATTGGGAGGCACGGTCAGACCACCCAGAGCAGCCTGTACCTAGTAAACCTGCATGGCTGCCCTGAATTCTGTATCAAAACTAGATTATTTCAGCTTACAAGCACCTTACTGAGCAACTTCCTTGTCTGGACAGATCTAAGTCTCATTGTCTCTGTCAGTCCGGGGCCCTGTCTTCTCCCAGTATTTCTCTTGGGTCTTTTCGTTCTTTTAAGAGAGAAGAATGGGCCCTACCAATACCGTATTCATCTGAAATAATTGTAAGGATACGACTAACCAGTTGTGGTTATTCACTTAAAAAGTTGAACACTGTTGCAGATTATAATAGCCTTTTCAAGTTCACCCCTGTGAGAGTAACTAAATTATTTTCACCTCATTTCAGAAAGCCTTTGGAAAATAAGACTTTCTTTGGTGTAACAAAAATAGGTGCAAGCAAACTAAAAGCCCTCAACAATTTCTCAAAGTTAGGTTTCAGAGCTATCTTTCCCTTGCCTCCTGTGTCATAACCACTTTAAGTCCATGCAACTTCCTTCAATCATCCATAACTGTCCATAACATAACTGAATGCCAGTGTCCTAACTGCTCTCCAGAGTAAGAGGATGCTGGAAGGACCAAGAAACAGATTATGATTTCTTCAAGAAGCTTGTTTGCCTTTTGAGGAATCATAAGCAGTATCTAAACTAAAGGCTCTTGTGGAATCACATGCCATAGCAGAGAGTTTAATTGCTTCTTTAACTCCCCCTAAATAAGCAATTTGAAAGAACAAAGATGAATTTTCAACAGAACGCCAATCAACATATTTTTTACTTACCACATTGCCTCACTAGTTTCTTTTCTCTATCCTGTGGGTGTCAGGACAGTTGGCTATGAATCTATGTTCATTCTAACACCTTCATTATGAATTGAACAGTATATATTGAAATTTTAATCTGTGTCATACTTGGGATATATATATATATATATATATGAATGAAAAGGTTCTTGTAGAGCGTTGAGGCTATTGTAGAGCCTGGAGGCTTAACCTAATTGCAAACTAAGCCACTAATAAAAAGAGAGGCACAAAAGAATTTGCCTTTCCCTCTGTGAAGTTTGCTCAATAGTGGCTGCTTTCCTAAAGCTAGACTGGACACAAAATGGGGATGAGGCCATAACATCACCTATCCTGCTACACACCATTCTGTGAGAGAGAAAAATCAGTGTTCGCAAAATGGAAAATGATAAAGTATGTCCACTGAAGCTCCTAAGTAGGTCCAAAGTGCTTGATTTAGAAAACCAAGGTTAATCAAGGAAAAGCTTTTGCTGACAGTTGCCCTTCCAGGAGGCACATTTGTGTTTATCTCAACCTGACCTCCATGGTGGGAACTTTCCTGGAGCACCCCAAGGGACTCTGTCCTTCTTCAGAGCCATTGTTTTCTCTGAGCCCCGCCAAGACCATGGTTCATTGGAAAGATTTACTGATAAGAGAATCTGGAAAGGGCCAGGCTTAAAGGAGCAGAGCCAGATACAGTCTGCAGTCACTAGGGAGATGGAGGCTACAACAGACTCCTCCCAGCTGACACTTTATCCTCACCTGTTTGCGCTACTTTTAATGTGGGCAACTGTTTATATATGTGCGAGATTTTAAGTTAATAAATTATGTCTATGGCTATCTTCCCCACGTGGTTTTGATATTGAATTGTCCTTTGAGCATCTGTCATCTGATCAATTGGGAATAACTTGAAATAATAACCAAAAGCTGAGGGTTATCAAACTACTATTTTCCTCAGTACCTGTTAAATCAGCGGAGCTTGTGGTCAACTGAAAGAAAGGATATGGTTTGTCACATCCTAATAGTTTTTCCTGGCTAACTCCCGCTCACCTGGACACCAACCCTCCTCTAGGTTGTGTGAAGGCTGAAGTGAAAGGTTTAACCTTCTGAGTTCCTTCCATGTGTCCGTCCTCAAAACTGCTCAACCAGGAAGAAATACCACAGCACTTTGAAAGATGAAAAAATGGTATGCCTGGTTGACTTTAGTGTTGGGAGAATGTAGGTGAGGGCTTGAGTGCCTGAAATGCCCATCACACCTGTGGATGCAACCAAGACAGCCAGAGACCCTATGGTCCCCTGGTCCCAAGTCAGTCAGGACCTAAGCAAAATCTGCAGATGCCTCTCAGAGGCAGAGGTGGCAAGGGCAGAATCATCTAGTTGATCCCAAGCTAAAAATGAGGTACGTAAAGTTTGTCCCAGTTGCCATAAGGTTATCTTTGAGTCAAAGAACATAGCTAGCAATGAGTGGGGTGAGAGTTCACAGAGGAAGAATGACCTGACTAGAGAACCAGTTTCATAAATAAGCAACCAGTTTCTCAGAGTCGCTGTTCCAGCATGTTGTGCCTGAGGCACTAGGCTCCATTTCATGCAGAAAAGGGATTATCTAACCTCTCAGGCTTCATAACTAACTTCATAATGAAGACTGTTATAGCCCTAGTTAAGAGCTCTTCTGAAAAGACAGTGGCCAAAATGAGGGTGATGCTTATTGGCGCTAAGGAGGAAGGAAATGGTAGATACACTAGTAAAACCAGAAGGCACTGGTACCTGGAGTTTAGTAGGAATGAATTAAATCATATGTTGCCAAAGGGACAGCCAAATCCCTTTTCTGTGACCTGTCAAAGCCCAAGGTTTGTCAAAGCCTAAGGGCATGCTCTTGTCCAGCTCTTGGCCAGCTGAGTGCATCCCTTGGGTGTCCAGCAGTGCATAAAAGTGTCATTGACCTAGGGAAGCAGTTAACAACTTGAGCTATGGAAGCAAATAGACCTTTGTTAGATCTCAGTTATACTGCTTGCTAGCTGCATGATCTTAAGCAAAACCACACTGACCACACTGAAGTTTCTTAATCTATAAAATGGGAATGCATTTCTCATAGGATGGTCATGCGGGTGAAATTCAATGAGATACTGTATGTGAAGGATCTAGGTGTATTATCTGACACGTGCAGGGTGCCCCACTGCTAAGGACTCTCTGTAGCACCATTTATTCCTCAGTAAGCTTACATACTAAACAAAAGACGAAGCTGCATACTTAAAAATTTTTAATAATAATTGAAATAAGAATCATCACAGTAAATTTTCCAGTGACTGGTGAGACGCCATAAATGTAATGGTTTCAGAAAAGCAAATTGCTAGGCTAAGTTTACTTAGGCTTCATGGGAGGAGAGAAAGGAAGAGGGTTTGAAAGAGCATCTAAGACGGAGTGGCAGAGCCTGAGTTTATTGATAAGAGAGCACAGATGTGTTTTGAAAGGATGGGGTCGTGACTAGTAGGTGAGGCTCTAGAAGAGAAGATGTGGAAATAAGCTGAGAGAAGTGTGTTGGGTCCAATTTGTGATGAATAGTGAATGTCAGGCAATGGGGTTCTACTGTTCAAGAAATGAAAAACCATAGACTATTTTGGAATGACTTGTTTAGAACTGTCTACCTAGCAGTAGTGTCAGACTATTTGAGGGAATGGGATAAGGAAGGGAAGGAAACTCGTCTATTGAGTGCCTACTAAGCATTAGGCAAGATCCAGATACCTTATTTCTTTTAATCCACAGAGCAACCCTTTTAAAAGGTGGCAGAATTCCCATATTTATATGCACAACACATACATCTGTGCTTAATAAAAATGGGTGGATACCGACTGGGAGAAAATTTTTGCACTCAACACTAATGATAAAGAACTGATCACAAAATTCTATAAAGAGCTGATGAGACTCAACAAAAACAAAGAAAATAATCCAGTCAAAAAATGGGCAGAAGAGCTAAAAAGAAACTTCTCCAAAGAGGAAATACAAATGGCCACCAGGCATGTGAAAAAATGTTCAACGTCACTTGCAATCAGGGAAATGCAAATCAAAACTACCATGAGATACCATCTTACACCAGTGAGAATGGCACATATTAAAAAAAACTAGCAACAACAAATGTTGGCGAGGATGTGGAGAGACAGGAACTCTCCTGCACTGTTGGTGGGAGTGCAAACTGGTCCAACCACTGTGGAAAGCTGTGTGGAGATTCCTCAACCTACTAAAGATAGAGCTTCCATATGATCCAGCAATTCCACTCCTAGGTATTTACCCAAAGGACACAGAAACATTAATTCCAAGGAGCACCTGCACCCCTATGTTTATAGCAGCACTATTTACAATAGCTAAGCTTTGGAAACAATCCAAATACCCAAAAATAGATGACTGGATCAAGAAGATGTGGTACATATACACCATGGAATATTACTCAGCAGTCAAAAAAAGATAAACTCATGCAATTTGCAGCAACATGGATGGAGCTGGAAGGGATCATGCTCAGCGAAATAAGCCAGAAAGAAAAAGAAAAATACCGGATGGTCTCACTCATAACAGGAATCTAGAAAACCTAAATAAGGGACCAGGAAAAAGAATAACTATAAGAAAGAAAAAAATCAAAATCAACAAACAACTATGAACCAGAGACACACTTTGGGGGTGGGGCAGGGAAAGGAGTGATTGGGGTCAAAATCAGGTGGTTGCAATTGTATGGGGAATATAAAAATAAAATTAATAAAATAAAAACAAAAAATTAAAAAAAAATAAAAACAGAAAAAAAGGGTGGATAAATGCACTTGGGTAAACAAGTTGTTTCCCAATGGGGGTGCACATGGGTATCAACAGAGGAGCTCTTGGAGGAGTAAACATTGGGAAATGCTGTGACTGAACAAAGGAGAGAGAAAAGGCATGAACCAGAAGAAAGTGAGATGCAGCGCAAAATCAAATCATTGTGTGGCTGTGACCTGGTGGAGTGACGGAGCTAGCCATGAAAGGATGGAGACCCGGAGCCTGTGCGGGGAGAGGAATGTGGAATGTGGGCATGTGGAGTGGCCTCCAGTGGGCGCCAGGAAAACGTCAAACAGTGAGTACTTACTGTGCACCAGACCCTCAGCTGGGCCTGTGTGCCATCGTATTAGACCTCTGTGACTTTTCCAGGCCCTTTTCTTTTGGATGAATTCCAGATCCAGCTCAGTTGTCACTGCTTCCCCATCTTCCTGACAACACCCCCTGCCCCACCCCCAGCCCCCCAGGGATTCTTACAGACTCTGTTCTCTTGGCTCCAACAATGCTTCATAGGCCTTCCATCATAAGTCGCTCAGACTATGCTGCATTGTTTTGTATACTGTTTTGTCTTTCCTGTCAGAATGTCAAGTGGCCAGATATAGATTGACCTTAGAACCAACCCATCCTCACCTCTTGTGTGCTGTATGTACATTTAGGTAAGTGACATATAACCTCTAACGTTCAGATATGGTAACGTAAGATTGTAAAAGTGGAGGTGATAATTGCTACCCTATATGTTCAGTGCCTGGAACACTGATCAAGCCCTGGTACATGGCCCAGAGGAAAGACAAGGACAAAGTGTTCACGCAAGTAGGGCTACGTAGAGTGTTCGGTAGAGCTGGAGTAGAGCAGTGTTGGCACTTGAGAGAAAGGAAAAGAGGTATTTGAAAGAAAGCCAGGCCTCCTTTGAGATCCCATCAGGGCACAGGCACTGACCTCTCTGCCCCGCCCCTCCACGGCCCCCTCGGGACAGCCTTGGCTCGTACCTCATAGGCACCGCCACACAGGTCATGGCCCAGGTCCTCACCACAGCCCCAGTGCCCAGGCCCACTGTCCTTCAGCCACTTGCAGGTACGAAGTGGTTCCTGTCTTTGTCCTTTTCCCTGTTAAGTTCTGAGGTGGTTCTGACCAGGGCTGATGTGAAGGGGCCACGGACAGGGAAGGCTGACTCCAGCTTCTTATGGCTGCCAATCGAGACAAGATGAACTTCACAGTCCGTTCGCAGCATTCCTCTTCCAGCTGGAGTTGATTTAAGCTTGTTGGATTTATATAACATTGGGAAACGGTAAACTGTGTAAATTTGCTATGTTTTGCAGGGACAGTTATTTATGGAGGGGCATTTTTAACTCAAGTGCAGAAGTGTTAAATCATTATAATAAATTCATGCTATTCAGACTTTCTTACATTGTAATAAATTTTTTCTAAGCATGAATGAGGAGATCCATGATTCCTCTAATATACCATTATGTATTTCTTCTCAGAGTGACACAGCTTACTATATCAACTTGGAGAATAATAGAAGGAGATTTACTGCATTGAAGGAACAAAAAGTGGAGCAGCAGTGAGTCTAAGAAGGGGCTTGGAGCAGCGCCCCCCGCAGAATGTCTCCCCAACTCTTGGCTTGCTTTTCGCTCCGTGGGAGGGGTCGCCTGTGCACCTCAGCAGGGGAGGGCCTGGCCACTGGGCAGTTCCTGCACCTCAGCTGGGCCAGGAAGAGCCTTTGAGCAGGGGCCCCAACGGCCCTCTGCCCTGTCCTCTCTGGGGGGGTGGGGAGAGTAAGACCAGGGCTCTATCAGAAAGGAAAATTGCATGGTGTGAAATCCCTCCCAAAATTCAGTCTGCACAGAGAGCTGCCCCGCCCCCAGCCCTCTCTCCTGTCTCTTAGCTCCTCACCTGGATATTCACCTGGATCAGAGGAACCATAGCTTTCATTAGATTCTGAAAGGACTCTATAACCCAAAAACTTCAGGAATCACTGGTATTCCCAAAGCACTTTGGACTGTTTGTGATGTGCTAAGCCAAGTGCCGCAACACCATGCCTGGGCCCCGGCAGCAAACGAAATGTGTGAGCTGCCCTTAGACTTCCCAGAGGTCGGTGCAGTCACAGGGGCCGGCCAGCAGCCCCCAGGAGGGAAACTTCAATCTCAGTTTTCCCAGAAGATGGGAAAGTTGCAGAAAGACAGGCAAGGCGGGTGCTCCAGGCAGAGGAGCAATGTGTCCAAGGCCTGGAGCCAGGGACGCCCAAGGTGAGTGAGCTCAGGCACAGCCTTGAGTGCTCCGGCAGGTGTTTGAACTTGGAGGCTCAGCAAGATCCCTGGGAAAGAGACCTGCATAGACAGCAATAACCAGCAACAGTGCAGTTTACCCATTGCTCCATCAGAGGCTTAGGTTCAAGTCCTTGCTCTGCCACTATAGCTGTGTGGCATCGGGTGAGTCCTGTCACCAGTCAATCTCAGTGCTTCTATTGGCACACAAGCACACCTGCCCCGCCCTGCTCGCGGTCTAGGGGGCACGGGAGCACCTGAAAGGATGTACCCGCTGGGAAACAGCTGCAAAGCATGTTGTACAATCAGGTGCTGTTATTGGTTGGAAGGCTGGCGAGGGCCAGCGGGCCCCTCAGAAGCATGAGAACTGGGGATTCCATGACAGCCAGGCACAACTCGGCCTGCCGGCCTCCACCATTGCTACTTGCTGCTGCATACCAACACCTCAGGCCTTGCTCCATCTCCAACATGGCTCCAGTGGGGCACCCACTGTCACACTCACCCCAGTTTCAGGATGTCCTTTAGCTGCCTTCCTGAGAGTTGTGACTGTGGCAGAGCCATCACCTCACCTTGAGCCACCTCTGCCCCAATGGTCCAGATTCTCCGGACCCCAGCCTTGGGGACCATGAGGAGCAGACAGAGTCAAGAGCTGTTCCAGGATGGGGAACCCTGAGCTGTGGTCCACACAGCCAACCACTTCCCTCAGAGGTTCCTGTGGGTGGCGGCTGCTGTTCCTGCTGCTCGTCCTCATCTCAGCCTCCACACCCACCTTGAATATTGCACATCTGTCTCTTCTCTCCTCAGAACTGAAGGTGATACTGTTTCTTGTCTCACTAGTCTGACCACTCCCAGGGATGAGAGTGGGAACAGGCACCCCCAGTCACTTTGGGGCCTGAGCAGATAGCATTTCCTTAATGGGCTGCAGGTGGAACTCACGACGCCCACTTCTTGTGTCCGGGCTTGGGGGTCTCCTTTCATGTTACCCTGTGCTTGGCTGGGGATGAAGGTGGGGAGGACGGGGTAATTGGTCCCTGCCTTGTCCAGTCCAAGTGGTTGACAGCTCCCCAGGCAGACCCAGCTAATGTTCAAACTGGCCTCATTTATTTTATTTTGAAATCAGACCAACAGAGAAGTTTTAGAAATAATACATAGAATTCCTACATACCCCTCCAACCTATTTCCCAAAAGTTAGCATTTTAACTCATTTGCTTATCAGTCATTCTTTCTCACACATATAGACACACATTACTTTTTTTTTTGCAATATTTGAGAGTAATTGCAGAGATATTACTCTTCTTTCCCTAAATAGTTCAGTATGTATTTCCTAAAATCAAGGACATTCTCTTACATAATCTTAGTACAATGATCAAAATCAGGAAATTAACATTTAATCCAGTGCCATTATCTAAACTGTGCAGACCCTGTTGAAATTTTGCCAAATTTCCTTATTAGCATTCCATTTTTAAGTTTCCTTTCCTCAGCTATCCTGTCTAACAAAAGGAAAATCATTCGGCCCAGGATCCAATCTATGATCACAAGTTGCATTTACTTATATCTCTTTATGTGAGTTCAAACCACTTCTTTGGTAAAGTGTTCCCCAATTTGAGCTTTTTCTGATATTTTCTTCTGTTTCATTTGAGGTTATGCATTTTCAGCAAGAATAAGTGATGCTGTGTTCTTGTGAGTGCATCGTACCAGCAGCCAGGAGAGCCATTTCCAGGTGATGTTAGCGTTGATCACCTGGTTGAGGTGCTGTCTGCTGGCTTCCTCTGTTGTCAAATTACAAACTTCATAATTTAGTAAATATTGCCCATTGGGTGGGATACTTTGGGACTATGTGAATATTGTTTCTCATCTACATTTTATCCACTAGCTTCAGCACCCGTTGATGATTTGTCATGTTTTAGTTAAATCCTTAGTCTTCTGCTGCATTATGACCGCCTTCTTTGTCCAGTGCTTAGGAGAGGTTGGAAAAGGAGACAATTCACTTTTTGTCCTCAGAGTCTTCAGCTAGCAAAGGAGCCACATCTGCCCAGCAACATGAAAGGGTATGGGCAGAGCCCAGTGACATGTCCCCCACTCTGATGGCGGGACTTTAGAAAATCTCAGTTTAAACTAGAGCCTCATGGAATGAATGGTCCGGACCCTGCCTGAACTAAGGGCAGGGAGAATATGAATGATCAGAAATGTAGAGTAACATGAAAATGTGTGTCCCTAAGTCACCCTTGAAGGTCCCGCAGGGACCCTGACCCAAATGCTGGTCATCCCAGGAGTTCCCGAGGTACTGAGAAGAGACAAGAGTCACCAGCTTGCTTCTGATCCCTGCTGCTCAGAGTTGGCGCAAAGTGGGGCAGAGGTGCTTGCTAAGAGGGCACCAGGCATAGGGGCCGTCAGAGGGGCCATGCTTCCCACTCCATGCCTCCTCTCGTTCGTTCAGCTACTTGCGTACCTACTAGGTGCCAGGTATTGAGTTCAGTGCTGAAGACACAGAACGCTCTCACGTTATCATT